GGGGGGGGGGGATAAAATAATTTTCAGTGTAGACATACTTCAATAAAAAGATAAAGTTTCATTTTTAGAATTGAACCAAAAAAATAGTTTAAGAAATACATACCGTTCAAACTTTGTGATCATTAGAATTGTGCTCGACGTTCTCTCAAGTCACGAAATTCATCGATGATTGACTCGGTAGTAATAGATCTTGCAATTACCCTTTTTACAAAGATAGTTAAATAATTTACAAGAAAGTCATCACTTCGAAGTTTGGATTTAACGATAGCCATAGCCGAAAATGCACGTTCTGTGGTCGCTGTAGACACAGGAAGAGTAAGAATCAATCTTATTAATCTATCAATCAACGGATATATCAAAGATTTTCTACGTTTCGCCATCCATTGGCACAAATTCAGAGATGGGGGCACAGATTTTAAAATTCTGAATGCTTGAGAACATCAATCTCATAATGCGCAATTGAACTTGCAGTAAATCTCTTTCATAATCCGTGAAGTCTCTGGGATAAAATTCATTGACAAGATGACAAGCGTCGTCTATATCAAAAGACAATCGTGAATTGCGAGGATCAAACATAGAGCTAAAAACAAGTAGCTTCACGGCATGCTCACTAAATCTGTTGTTTAGCTCTTGCAGTTGATAATCTATCATAACCGTAAATATATTAATACGGTAATGATTTTCGAATGTGTATAGATTTTGCTTGTTCCGAGATCGTCCTCCCCTTTCAACATATAAATCATTAACATTGGGAATATCCATCGCACGACTTTCACAAAAGACTTCACCTTGCCAAAAAGACTGTCATATCCATCGTCTCCCAGTTTTTGGAATAGACTCTTTGTAGTGCCAACAAGATGCATACCATTCAGAATATCATGAGATTTCCGTTGGAGAGCTTGACAAAGCGTATCAGTTATTTCCATTATTTCTTTCATAAGATGCAAGATGAAGACGAACTCGAAAGAGGTCAAAGAAATGTAAGTCGAATCTGCATCGGCTCATTGATCACAATTTCCCTCATCAATAATGCACAACAAAATCGAGCAAGCTGCACTAAACATCTTCAACAAGCTAGAAATCGACCTCAAGTGCGAATCCCACCGTGTATCTCCTGCTCGTTGTAAACTGTCCAGATCCTTTTTCAAGCTCATCAATAAAAATCAAATAAGCAATATCAGAAGTTTGGGTCGCTTTTAATTTATCGA